TTAGGTTCCTCTCGAACTCTCGCTCGAGTTCGACAAGCATACTACTGGTTTAAGCTTTCTGCATCAGTTAAGCGATACGTGAAAAGCTGCCGGGAATGTCAACGCCGCAAATCCCCGCCACTAAAGCCCGCGGGGCTTCTTCAACCAATAGAACCACTCAGAGCGCCATTTGATCAAATAGGAATGGATTTACTGGGGCCCTTTCCGCTATCATGTGCCGGCAACAAGTGGATCGTAGTAGCCACCGGCTATTTGACGAAGTACGCCGAAACAAAGGCACTACAACGCGCTACGGCTTCCGACGTCCCCCAATTTTTTATGGACCAGATCGTTCTTCGACATGGTGGCCCGTCGTGCCTAATCACAGACAGAGGAAGAACATTCACGGCCCAGCTCATTCATGACGTATTCAAGCTCACCTACACGAGCCATCGCAAGACCACGGCATATCATCCGCAGAGCAACGGCTTGACAGAGCGACTCAACAAGACCATCGCTGACATGTTATCTATGTACGTAGATGTTCAGCATAAGACCTGGGACCAGGTGCAACCGTACGTCGCAATCGTGTACAATACTGCCGTCCAGAAAACTACGCGATTCACGCCTTTCCGTCTTGTCTATGGACGTGAGGTCCAGACCATGCTGGATGCGATGCTTCCACACAATTGCGATGCTTTGATCACTCCTGATGCTGTGCAGCTTACCCAGTACGCCGAAGAAGCACGCCAGTTAGCACGCCTACACATTACGCACCAGCAGAGTACAGATGCATGCCGCTACAACGCTCGCCATCGACAAGTTGAATACCATCCAGGCAATCAAGTTTGCATGGGTGTGGACTCCAGTCCGATGCTAGGGATTGTCAGAAAAACTGCTCAGTCGCTACTTCGGACCATACAAAGTCTTGCGACGCGTGAGCGATGTGAACTACGAGGTAGTCCCCAACGGCGCCTTCTCACCACGACGGCGAAGGCACTCCTCGGAGATTGTCCACGTGGTGCGCCTGAAGCCGTACTTCCCGCGGTAGTGCGACTGCGCATGAACCATATCGCTGTTTTTGTGTATGCGCGTATTTTCTGTTGGTTCGCCCCGACTTTGCCTTTGTACTTTCCGAGCATCAGAGTGATGCCTTTTTTTTTCTCAGAGGGGGGAATAATGCCACTTGGCCACTTACGGCGAGCGCAAGCCATGGCTGCCCGCAAGAATGGAAGACGATGTTCTGGGGCAGCGCGTGCTCTGGCTAGTTGTTTATTATTGAAGCAGCCATCTTGCCAGTTTTCGGTGCGTCTCCCCACCGGCTCAGTTCTTCCTAGTTGAAGACCTTTTGTAGCACGTGACAATATTGAGGAAAGGGTGAGTGCCAGAACCTTGGAGACGCGCCCTCTGGGTCCGACCCCTTCCCCGCAACATGTCAAAGAAAACCACAGTGAAAACCACAGTGGTCGCCACCAGGCCCACGCGGAAGCGTTGCAGCAGCACTTTCGTCAAGAGGAACACGTGTGCTACGTGGACGTTACCGGCCCACACCGTGGGGGTGTTATACGGCCGCAGTCATACACAACACAAACACCGTAAACGGGCTCACTTTCAAAGCCTACAGCGCAACACATGCGGAGGAGATCGCCATATCGCTCTGGCTCTCACCTATCCCTCTTCAAATCATATCATCACCGACTCACGAGGGGCCTGTCGGAACTATCAGCTAGGGTGGGCTTCACCGCTTGCTCAGCGCATACTGGAACCTAGCTGCCGATACGTTAATCCAACTCCGCGAAATCTGGTTTGGGCACCTGGTCACCAAGGACTCAGGGGTAACGAACAGGCCGATCAGGCCACCCGCGCACTCTCTTCCCGGGCTATCTCTCTGTCTTTGGAAGCCTACTCCCAATCAGACAACTGGGCCCTTTCATTCAAAGATATTACCGATTACTACAAGGAGGAGCACCGGCACTATCCAGACCCTTGTAAGGGACTGCATCGCGCTGACGAGCGCCTCCTTTTAAAACTGTTTACCAATACCGTACTGTGCCCGGCGGTGCTAAAACATTTCAATTCATCCTTTGATGGCTCGTGCTAGTTCTGTGGTGAAGCGGCTGACACCTTCCACATCGTCTGGGCGTGCCAGTCTAATCCATCTATCCCCCCAACCCCAACCCCACGAGAGAGGACTGGGAGGCGGCCCTGCTCAGCTGTCAAGACCTGAAGGCCCAAAAAGCCCTGGTTCAACGGGCGCGGGCGGCGTTGCTTGCCAATGCAGCTCCGGAATAGGGGTTCCACCTAGTCCTGTGAGGGTAAGAGGCCAATAAGGCCCCAACCCAATCACCTCTCTGTAACCATTTATTGGCTATTAAATGTTTCACCACCACCACATCGGTGGCCGAGTGAACGCCGAGCATGCCAAATACTCGTCGGGGTGAGCAGTCGGCAACACATTGGGCCGGCCTTGGTTGCCGATGGGGCATAGTAAAATAACGTGAATTTACTTAGGGTGGCATAAAATATATTGTTGCGTGATTGTAACTAATATGCTCATGTATACGTATCAATAATAAACACCAGTGTGTTTTCTTTAACATTCAGAAACATTACCTGGGAGACAGTGAGTGAGAGACAATATATCTGTGGTCTCTCGCTTACTTTGATTGGCAGACAGTACGCGACAATCCGATTACATCATGGACTAACAAAAATATTAGTAATTCAATTCATACATTGGTTTGCCAGGTGAGCGTATACACTTTGAGGAATTTTGCGGCTGCATCATTTGCCAAGAGGGCAACTATATATATATATATGTGTGTGTGTGTGTGTGTGTGTGTGTGTGTGTGTGTGTGTGTGTGTGTGTGTGTGTGTGTGTGTGTGTGTGTGTGTGTGTGTGTGTGTGTGTGTGTGTGTGTGTGTGTGTGTGTGTGTGTGTGTGTGTGTGTGTGTGAAGAAGTTTTTTCAATGGGCCAGACCTACTTGAGAAGAGACACAACTTAGCGGTTGTCTTAGTTTTATTCCTAACGATTTCGACCGGTGGACCGGTATCATCAGGGTTTGTGAATAAGGTGTGTGTGTGGGGATGGGGGGGGGGGGAGCATTTAACTACGCTTTTGTTTTTCTTCGATACAACAGCAGATTTTAATAAGTGGCTGAAAAACGATGAACTTCTGCCTCAAATATTTGATGACGTAATTGTTAGATTATCGCTACAGTAAGGTTTAATTCCATGGGTGAGTACTACAAATAGGGCGCCTACGTACAGTTCATCAGTTGCAGTGTGTATACCAAGGTGTAATTAATTTGAAGGTCATATCTTAACGTCATTGACTTTTCGTGCAAGTAACGTCCACCACTTGCAGTAAATTTGAGTCAAATAAATGCGTTTGTGTCATTTCATAGCTAAGTTACCACCATTAAACGAACGATTCTGCATCCCCTTAAAAAAAACATATCAATACTCGCACATATCTCATGACTTTTCATTGCCGCCCGGGGATCTCTACGCCGCGGACCCCTACTCTACAATTACAGGTACCCAACGTTTTGTTATAGAAGCTTGTTATTAATTTATTGTTATGTGGGGTTTAACGTCCCAAAACAACCATATGAATATGAGAGACGCCAAGCTAGTTATTAGTGTAGTACATGCGAGTAATACATATTTCGCGGACTGCTAGATATGAAAACGGCGATGCCATATGAGCTATGTGGGGAGAAAAAAAAAGGCTCCGCGAAAGGCGCTGTAGTGTCCCTACGACTCGATGGAAGTTGGGAAATATCAAAGCCGGCGATTAATACAAAACGAACTTATTTCATGGCATGCACCAATAAAAGGGAACGTCTGCGCAGCTAAAATGGTTCACTGGCGACTGGTCACTGATGTCCTTGCGAGTCCTGCGGGATCTTCTCCTCGATTGATTGATTTATAAGGCTTAACGTCCTAAAACAACGATATGATCGATTATGAGAGACACCGTAGTTGAGGGCTCCGGAAATTTCGACTACCTGGGCTTCTTTAACGTGCCCCCAATTCTGAGCACACGGGCCTACAACATTTCCGCCTCCATCGGAAATGCAGCCGCCGCAGCCGGGATTCGATCCCGCGACCTGCGGGTCAGCAGCCGAGTACCTTAACCACAAGACCACCGCGGCGGGGCGGATCTTCTCCTTGCACCACACATATGTAAACACACACACAAAAACAACTACTGACACTGGTGGACGTGTACCCCGTTTTATGGCCCACTTCTGAGGCGAGAACAGTATCTGTTGAGTTGAGCGCGCTTTCGATGGTCCAAAGCCACTGACTCGAACTTGAAATTCCCAAAAAAAGCTGTCCGCGACAGGTGTGACCTCATGTAAGATTTTAGTACAGACACACAAACAACATTAACTAGAAATATTCCTTCAAAATTGTCAAAATGAACACTTAATAACGGTAGTCTTCTCAGAACAGACGGGTTAGAAGCACAGGAAAATCACAGGCAAGCCAAGGTCAACATAGGAATCGCGTGCTGCTTTACAGATAGCAGAAAATGCGGGAAAAAAAGAAGTAAAAAACTAATTCTGGTCCTACTACCCAAGCCGCTCGTGCGTACTGCTTACATAGAGCAGAAAGCGCATTTCTTCGAAAGAAAAAAAAAAAGTTGGGGACCCGTCGTTTCGGCCTTGGAATACGCCACGCGTCACGTATCCCAGAAATAATATACAGATTTAGTTGCGCGTCGGTAGCGGCCGTAAGGACGCGGCCTGCCATTGCAAAAGGCGCTGCACCGTACTTTTCGGACTTGCAGAAATTAGGCGCCTTCTCCTAACCCCTACCACCACCATTGCAAATGTCTAGCAGGCTGCGTCCGGCTGCTGCGGACGCGTGACTAAATCTGTCTATTGACAACACCTGACAGGAGGAAAGGAATGCGCTAGCCACGAAGTCGCTGGGACCAATTGGCGGGGTGCGAGCGTCGGGCCTTTCGCTTTTTTTTTCTACTTCTTTTTTTCATGTTAGGAAGAAGACAACGCTATTTTGTTCCGAGGACTTGCTGAAGCACTACCATGCAAAGTGACGCCCATGCATTGAGCAGCATTTCCTTTACTATGTTCCTAGAGCCAGCCGCGTCCCACCACCGATGATTTCACACGTACTCGTAAGTGGCATTTTATTTCCTGACGCATTGCCCGTTTTCTCTCTTGACGAAAATCACTGTGATCTGCGCAACTGATGTGTCAACTAGGTTAGTCTCTTTTAGTTCACGGATAAGGATGCTTTAGGTGAACGGCTGTTGTATCAGTCGTCGTTGATCGTTTACGGGTAAATAGGTAAATATATGCCTTCCGGGATTTTTTGTTCATTTGTTTATATTGAAAGAGCCTGACAATATTTGCTTTTTTTTTCCTTTAGGGAGTACTGAAACAAGGACTGCAAAAAGTGTGAATAGTGTAATGCACTCGTCTCGCCGTACCGAAAGGAAGTCTGGTAAGATGCATGCTTGGTTGATGAAGTCCTACGCAATTCTTCACATTACATTAAGTCGCAAATGGGCTGTACACGCAGACTGAAAATTATCTAATGATAGAGCTTATGCTCGCATGCGACTGTGCAACTAGTGATGTAAATAGTGTGCCTTTTTTCAAGTATATTAATCATTGTTTTTTTTTTGTCAGCTCTTCCCAGCAATTAACAGAATAATACAAGCCTCACATCTCAGTGGCAAAATGTCGCACACTGAATACGTATTGATGGCCAACAGCACGAAAATTGCCCGAAAAAGAAAATTGATCTATCAGGAATACCACTCCATCGTCTGTATAGTTGGTTTGCACAAGGCCTGCTGCAAATCGTTCCATGTGAACAATGTTGCATGAAAACATGGTGCATTTACACAACTGTAGAATAAAAACATTAAGTGAGAAAGCTTACGTTCGTCTTTTATTGCGTGTTACGTACTTACACGCTAAAAAGTTCATACTTCAGAAATGTTTAATTTCGTCTTACTTGTGGACTGAGCCAATGTCATATGCACAAAATACAAAAACAAAGCAGAGCAAGGAACGTTGGCAACAGACCTGCAACCGACGGTAAATCGACGCTTATGTAAGGTCGCACCATGGTCAACCCACGTGCGGCACGCACTAGGGCTCGTCGGCCGACGCGGTCGGGCCTACGTTGTGTTCCGACGTCGGCCGGCGTGAGGGCAATGTCAATCCCTAAACTGGCGCTATGTTGGTTTCTAACGTCGGGCCAACCAGTTCGCAGTCAGTCACAGACCTCTCGCCAACCTCTTGCCGAGAACAATTTATTGCTTGGGGAGAACCAACTAGGGTTCGCAAAGACGTGGAACTTACTTAGGTACCTGTTAGATCCAGATGAGACAAAAACCACTCACAGACAGAACATCAACAGAATTATACATGTGTATGAAGGCTTCGATCAGGACATATTACGGGAGATTACGGAACAGTACATCAGTTCTACCCGGTCGCAAGTGCATCCTGATTACGGAGGTGCAGTCAACAAAGTCCTACACAGACCGATCTGCAAGTCAGAGATCAGGGCAGTATTACAAAAGCTTGACACCACATCGTCGCCCGGGCCCGACGGGATTACAAACAAAACACTCAGCAATCTAGACGATAAATCGATGAAAAAAACTTATGGAGTTTGTCAACCCGTGCTGGGAAAAAGGAAAGGTGCCCCAACATTGGAAGACTGCGCATATCGTGCTGATTCCGAAGCCGGCTAAGCGACTGCAGCTAGAGAACCTCAGACCAATCTCGCTGATTTTATGCTTGAGAAAGATATGTAGCACGTGGTTTTCACCAGGCTGACCAACTACCTCGAGGACCATGACCTGCTTCCCCACACAATGTTCGGGTTCAGGCGAAACCTCTCCACGCAGGACGCGATGCTACAGATAAAACACCAGATAATAGATAGCCCTACGATGTCCACTAAGGCCATACTTGCCCTGAACCTGAAAAAGGCCTTTGATAGCGTAATGCACGCGACCGTACTGGCCAAAATGCAGGAACTAAGTCTCGGAGAACGAACGTACAACTACGTTCGAGATTTTCTCACGAATAGAAAAGCCAAGCTTACTTTCGGGCAGCTTAGTTTTGAGGAAATAAAATCGGGTAGCGTCGGTACACTGCAGGAATCGGTGATATCTCCCATGCTTTTCAACATAGCTCTCGTGTGGTTGCCAGCCAAGCTACAAGAAATCGAAGGGCTCCATCACAGCCTTTACGCCGACCACATTACGCTGTGGGTTATGGAGGCCTGCGACGGCCACACAGAACAGATGTGCGATCGAGACTGTTGAGCGATACAGAACACCGGCTTGAGCTGCTCTGCGAAAAAATCAGAACATTTAGTATACACACCCACGCGAAGGGGCCGCAAACCGAACGGTGAGGTAAATGATGATCCCGGTAGAGACATCACATACGACTATATTCGATGGGCGTCCTCAGCCAAGGGTAGATATTATACGTGTTCTCGGCTTGCACATCACAGCGAATTGCCACAATGGGGAGACCATCAGGAGACTAGAAGCCGCAGTTGCTCAGACCATCCGACTACTAAAACGCATAAGAAACCGACACAGGGGGATGAAAGAGCCACATGGTAAGGCTAGGTCAAATCTTCGTAATGAGCCGAATAACGTACGCAGCATCCTACCTCAAGTGGCAGGTAGTGGAAAAGACAAAGATAAAGGGCTTAAACAGGAAGGCGTACAAACAGGAGATAGGGTTATCGATGAACACGAGCACCAGTAAATTACTCGACCTTAGTCTCCACAACACGCTGGAAGAATTGATAGAGGCACAGACCATAGTGCAGTACGAGCGCATTTCCAAAAGCACAACGGGCAGACACATACTAGACAGTTTAGGAATTAAATATCACGCTCAGCATGGTGTTGCGACGTACCAAGCAACATAAGGAATAAAATGGTGATCCTTCCTTTGCCGAAAAACATGCACCCCGAATATGACAGGGGTAGACGGAAAAAGAGAACACAGGACATACAGAGGAAGTATGGCAAATGTAGAGAGGCAGTACTCGTGGACACGGCCAGGTACGCGCAGGCGCGGTTTCGCGGCTGCTGTAATAGATCACCAAAACTTTTGCAAGACTAGCGTCACGGTACGCACGAAGAACGTGGAGACAGCAGAGGAAGCAGCTATCGCACTAGCAGTAGCCACCACCACGGCTGAAGTGGTTATCAGCCACTCTCAGACAGCAAGCAGTACGCAACTTCGCCAACAGCCGCGTCTCTCCCGAGGCGTTACGAATTTTACTTGCGGGCGAAATTGAAAATAGGAATATTTACGTATTATGGGCACCCGCCCACACTTCCTCGCTCGCCGCCAATGAGGTGGCGCGAGGGCTTACGGACCAAGCCGCCACCATCATCACTGCCGCCTCGGCCGCGACGTCGGGTGAGGAATGGGAGTGGGAGGATCGCATCACCAGTTTTAAGGATATTACCCAGCATTACAGATTGGCCAGGTGCAAATTTCCACCCCCACACCAAAAACTGAACAAAAGGCAGGCGGTCACGTGGCGACAGCTGCAGACCAGGACGTTTCCAAGCCCAGTGATCTTGAAACAGTGTTATTTAAAGCTTTATCCGTCGCGCTGCTAGTTTTGCGAGGCCAGGGCGAGCCTGGAACACATGCTATGGGAGTGTGGCAGAGGTGGGGCTCCAGACGGGGATGCAGCCTCGAACCGAACGCGCCTGGAGAGTGTTCTGCTCAGCCATGCCCTCGAAGACAAACTGTGGGCCGTACAGCGTGCCGTGGCCGTCGCCAGAGCTCAATGGCTCCTGGGTAATATCTAGGCGAGATATCTGCTCAGACTTATGAATAACTCGCCGGACGTTCACTTATTTATTTTTTTAATAAAGTTGCGTCTATCTCTCTCTCTGTCAACGTGCCTGCCATTCACGACTTCAGCTCACAGGGTTTCTTGCTTATAGATTACGTCTGTAGAATGGACCTATAGCCACCGTCACTTCCTCCTAATGTTGCTTTCATCAACAGGCGATAAGGTGGTCAGCTTCAAAAACTGACTTGTCTTCGATGAGCTGCCATGATATATACACCTTAAGATTGAAACTGCAAAAAAAAAAAAAAAATCCGCCATATCCACGAAGTGAATGATGATGAGTGGGCGAAGCTCCGGAGGTAAACCTGGTAAACCATGAATCCTCTGTACATTTTGCCCACTCGATTTTATTACATCGCTCCCCCTAGCGTACGTCGCCGCACTAAATCGAACGATTGCCTTCAACCAATGACACGCGCCATATGTGACATCATTCCTATTTTATAAGACCTCGCGTCTTTCATCAACTACAAGTACCGCTTTCTAGTTTATAACATCTTGCATCTTTTCATCATCAGCTACAAGTACCACCATCTAGTAAACACTACAAGAACTAAACGAGAGGTGGCTACATACGGGAGACGGTACCGCCATCTAGTGAACACTGCAAGAACTAAACTAGAGGTAGCTACATACAGGGGACGGTACCGCCATCTAGTGAACACTGCAAGAACTAAACTAGAGGTGGCTACATACAGGCTACAGGGGACGCACAGCCCACGCCCTAAGGAGCTTCGCCCCTAAAAAAAAAAAGAAACAGGACACAGGCGATTTTACTGAAATATGAAATTGCTGCTTAGATCACCGTACGTAAGACTCTCAGCATGCTCAAGGGCGTAAAATGATACGGCTGGCTAATCGCTATTTTTTTAAATCATGATTTACCCCTTTGTAGAAGCTCTGGAACTAAACCAATCATTTATAATTTTCATCCATGTGTGGCTAGATGGCCATGGGATGTACAACGTAAACCACCATACAAAATTTCCGCAATAGATATTAGGAGGGTGCCACAGGGAAAAGTTACAACTCTGAATGAGGCACGCACATGCACGATTCTCACGTTTGCCCGCAATCATGACAGAAAGGTTGCGGCTGCATGCGGCTGTATGAATGCTGTGTCGCTTCCCACCACACCATGCTTTCCACAAGGCAGGGAATCGGCTTGCGCTGTGCTTCGTAGGGCTATGTGTGCTAAACATAAATATATTTAATTTGCGCATGCTCGTCATGTAAACAGCGGCCTGTCTTTAGATGCAAACCTACAATGAATGAAGTAGCATTGTTGCACGCACTTCATGCAGCAAAGATAAGTTTCTTTACCGTTATGTACCCTCTGAACGTCCCTCATAGCACCAGACCAAGGCAGCAAAGAGATATATTGACTTTCTATTATTATATGGTTAAGCACGAGAAATGTATCTCTCACGAATGCTGTGATTACACTGTGCAGTCCCGATGCCAAGAATGCACGCGTAACGTATCCTAATTGCACGAAACTATCCTCAATGACATATGAGTAGGTTGGAACCTGTTGAGGCAGCCAAAGAAAGCGATTCTGGACACTTCTAGTGAAACGATTTTCCCAGAATGATAGAGGCTGGCATTCTTGCTAACATATCAGTTGAAGCACATTTAAAAACAAAATACATATGTTTGTGCAATGCAAAAATGTTGGTAGAGTTTAAAGTAAAACAAAAAGAAGAGACAATAAAGATATGCAAAACATATCAAACAAAAACGACCTACCTCAACTTGTCTGAGGGAGTTGGGCTGCATTTCAAAAGGCTCTGCTGAGTCCATCTGTATATGTGTGAAGCTTCCCTTTTTCATAGCACACATTAAAGTTGCAATGCTGAAGCGTCAAGCTCCACCAAAGTAAGCGACCGCTCTTAGAGGACATGTTGTGCAACCAAGGAGCAGTGATCGGTTTCTACTATGAAGCTCGATCCTGAGACGCAACATGCTAGCTTACCAATTACCCAAACAAGGCAGGCACACTCTTTCTCTGATGTGCTGTAAGCTTCTTCTCCAACACTGAGCTTTCAGCTAAGTTCCAAAACTGGCCGCTCATGCCCGTCGGCATCTTTTTGCCATAAAACTGCTCCTAGGCCGTGGTCACTGGCATCACATTGAATATAAACCACTTAGAAAAGTCCGGCACCACCAGCATGGGTCGTTTTGCGAGAGCCCTCTAGAGGCTCTTGAAAGCATTTTTTCTTGTGTCCCACAAAATGACAGTGGGCTCCGTTTTGCGGACAGAATCCGTCAGAGGACTAGCGAGGTTTGAGTAACCCTTTACGTAGTGTTGGTAATACCTCGCTAGTCCCAAAAATGCCCTCGATTCCGATTTCGTGGTGGGACAACGGTACTCTGAAATGGCCGCAACTTTTAGCTCAGACGGGCTATGCTGGCCACGACCCACGATGTGGCCGAGATAACTTATGTTTGCACACCCTAAGTGGCAATTCTGTGCTCTCACGGTGAGGCCTGCATCACGTAGTCAAGCCAAAACAGTCCTCAAGTGAGTCACATGCTCGGCCCACGTATCAGAGAAAATCAACCCATCATCGAGATACGGGAGGGCTATATCTCCTAAACCTTGCAACACCCGATTTATGAGGTTCGCAAAAGCAGTATGAAGCATTTTTTAAGCCGAAAGCAAGCATTAGATGGCGAAATATTCCTGATGGGAAGCTGACGGTCCTTAATTGTCCTCTGCAGTGGATTTATCATCTCTTTTGAGGATCGTACGTCTGCTTCACGCACATTTTTTTTAAGAGCATGAAACCAGGGTATTATTACTATCACTAAAAAGAACACCTCTGCACTGCTAAAAATACTGATCACATTATAGGAAGCTGCACAGGATGTTGCCAAATTGCTTGCCTACTTAACAACTGATCAATACAATATGCTGTCAATTGGCACAGGCTAATGATCATGTTCGGAGTAGCGTTACTATGACCAGCAATTGTATCCAATCATTTTAATTCATTAGAAAACAGTTGGATTGTAAATTCAACTGAAGTGTACAGTGAGTTTGGCTAAAGATATGTGCATTCAAATGAAACCAATAAAATGTTTATGGGTTCCTTTAACAGCATTGTTTTCAACACTTCACAGTTAATGACAATTCAACAGATTTAGAAAAACAGCTGGGTAACAACACATTAACTGAGATACTTTTTCAGCCTTGAAAGTGCTTCTTCTCTTTTTTTATATATATATAGGCATATATAACATGTGCTAAAACAACACAGCATACCAGTAAAAAATGTCTTCATTTTTTCCTTCAATAAAAAACAAGATATTGATGCAACAGCACCATAAGATATAAGAAAGTGCTGTGTAACATTTTGGGAAACCACCACAACATGCTTTCAGTGTTTGCTATTAAGGTAAAGGAAATTAAGCACATAATCTCCAACCTTCATTTGTATGTCATTTCAAAGAAATATCACTAGTAACACATTAAAGTGCACTACAAATAGAGGCACACAATCAAACTTTCAATAGGAAAGCAAGGCAAGAAACACACACCCGTAATCTATACAAGTGAAAACTCGCAAAGCAACCCTGTCAACTTTCCAGGCCAGGCAAGTGACTGTCAGAATTTTCTATCACAAGAACTCCTGGCCAGCTGGTGTGATTAAGTGTATGACACTGATGAATAATGCAACAAAAGTTATCTGGAAGTTGTCAAACATGCTTTATAAAGGTTGAGAATATGGGGCTACAAATAAAAAAAAAGTATGAAACACATAAAATACAAACAAGTAACAGTGTATGGAAACTTTGAGGAAAAGTTGTTCAATACGAGGACAGAATGATGCCTCGAGATTTTTTTATTTGTAAGGACTTCCATTAACAGGACACTCTTACACACAACAAGCTAGAATTCAATAAGGAGTACTCATCACAGTGATCATAAAGGCACATAAAAACAAGATGATTTACATTCAATCATGAAGAGAATTGGCCTGATGATAGCAAAGTGCGATAATAAATCAACACACTGAGGCTAAACACTACCCATTAGTTTCACTGTCGCAGAAAGCAATATTTAGTCCCGTTACATGCTTTAAAATAGTTACAAGACCGTCCAGTGGATTTACACAAATGTGCCCCCAGTCCGAATATAAGCCTTCTATAACATGACAGTGTGAAAGCTCTGCCAGTGAAAATGTGTCACTGAAGGAACATAAATAAAACAATGCACCATGTCAGTGCCCACAATGCAGTAAAATAGCCAATCAGCTATACCAAACTCATGCCATGCATAGGACGAATTTGAGTTTAGTGTTATACACAGAATATAAAAACATACCTTTGCAATCTTTTCCCATTAAAATGTTGCTCATGGCAACCCTTTGTGAAGTGCACCACATTAACTTCTACTCAGAAGGTACTGTGTAGTGACAGGAACAATAAATTCAAGGGTATAAGAGTGTAAGATATGAGTTATAAGATTATCACCACTTGAAGGAATGATCGTAAACTGCCGATTGTTGATAACAGAACAGTGCACAGTGAACACTGAATGCATTCTCCCCCTATATTACATCAGGGGTTCTCAAACTGGGTTTCGCAAGGGCAATTCAGGGTTCTGTGAGAAGTCAGAACGAATATGACCAGCCCCTGTTTCACCTTAATCGACATCATATTTATTGGTTTAGTATTTCATTTTGCATTTAACGAAGCCGTTGCATGTGCACATCGCACATCGAGAGTCTTTGAGTAGTACACATGCAACAGTAGTATGCAAGACTCACAGTTCTGGTGTGCCCGATGAAATAAATCTGTGCAGTTTGCAAACATGTGGTGGTAGCACGTACAGGATGCTGGCCACAAGTGTAGTTTGTAATACGTGCATAGAAATAAATTAGAAATCATACAAGTAAAGAAAAAACAAAAGATGAGATTCGCTGCTTAACTCTTTCGTTACCACCTGAAAATGATTGTTTTTCGTATTTCTCAGGAAGATCGTTCTTGCCAGTTAGAAAAGTACTCCAGCACGCACCACAGCATACCAAACTTTGCACAATAAAAAGCTCTTTCCAAAAAATATATGTTGTAGAGCAACAAAAATATTTTAGAATGAATAAAAATGCGAAAAGTGTGGAATTTTTGGTCACCAGAAGGTGAACAGTGCAATAAAAACACTATATATGCAGAAATATTCAAAACAAATAAAATTTAGAACATACATTTTGTAGAGAAATGACCCAGGAACAGTGTAAAAAAAATAATGAATGTTGTACAAAATGTTCCTTTATACATAGATAAAAAAAATCAGAACCGAGGTGCTGCTCCACTGCTCATGCCATGCGATGAAGCATTGCATAGTTTTTCGTGAGACACAAGTGTATTCATACTCTTTTCTCAGTAAATTTTTGTTGTCTTGTGATAAGAGTCTTCAGGTGTTCCAAAATAGATGGCTACCGGTGGTGTGAATAATTGCTCTAAAAATGAAGTGCCCAATGAACTTTTCTGTTTCATCTAGCCCACCTCACGCCACATAAGTTGGGGTTCCCATATATGCATCCAAGCATTTTTGTTTTTGTTTTCGCACATATTGTATTAAAGAAAAAAGGATAATATCGCATGCAGTTTTAAAAGGTTTCGCACTCCGCCGTAGTCAGGGCCAAGATGCGCTCCGGGAGCCTTCTTGTAGTTGGGAGAAGCTCTGCAGCCAACACCAGCACCCCACCAGCAAAGTGTGCACTATGCACGTAACCAAAGCAGCTATAAGATTGTACACAAAGGTGAGAAGCTATAAGCAGTTGTGGCGGAGGAGACAGCTTGAGGATGTATACAAAAGAAACCCAAGAACAGCTGTGGCTGCCTCAAGCAAGACATCATCGCCATAAAACTTGAAGCTGAGGTGCTGTCATCTTCGAACTCTAAGCTTGTCCTCACTCAATTCAGGTGGGCTAAGAAGAGAGTTTTGACAAGTGCACAAGTTTTGCAGAGCTGGCGCACACCCATGTGCGCGTGAAGACGGCGTCATAGGAGCGACTACAAGTTTTCCCGCTCACTTTAATCCAAGTGGCAGCTTAGATAATCTGTATGCCATTGCAATAATCTGAGTGCCAACCTCTTTAATCCATGAGCCAAACATTTAATCCAAGCCCCAACATATTTATTCCAAGCGCCAACTCAATCAGGCCGCGTGCCAGTGAATTTAATCCAAGTGCCACCGCGTTTATTCTAATTGCCAATGACTTTATTTCAGGTGCCAGTCAGTTTAATCCATGCACAAAAAGCACGATACGGGGCGTAAAAATGGCAGTGCACTTGAAATGCAGTTTCTACAATATAAAATACTATAGTTGGAAGGTAGAATAAATCATTATTATTAGTAATCGCCGCTAGTATTCGTGAACACAAAAATCACTGCCGCAGTTCGCTTGAGCCGTGTTTGGAGTGCTTATACTGCGCTATGTACAAGTTTGTAGATGAGTACTTGGCTCGGGTGGAGTCATTTTAATAGCAACGAAAGAAAAAAAGCAAGAATATTTTGTGTTCGTCAACAAAGCTCATAATTGAATTTGTATAGCATTACATGTCCGGGCCAGGTCATGTAATGCAGCAGACATAATATGGTTATTGGAGTGCCGGGATGCATAACAAGATATAAAAAACTTAACTGTGGGTAGTAATGAGTCAAAAGCAGGTACATGCTAATAAATTAGGGGGTCATCACAGGGCAGAACAAATTGAAAATAATTCGAAGAGGCTTTCGTTCTGCAGTGCACATAAGACGTCAACTCGTTATCCTGATGTAAAAAATGGAAGTCATATTTTACATTCATATTAGTTGTTATCTGTTTATTCAAACAAAATTATGTGTATTCGATGAACGCATGTTTCAAGCAAACACGCTTCAGGAACACGCTTCAGGAACACTAGCGTCGTCTTTTACATGAAAACAGGAGTATCTCCTTTGATGCTTTTATAAAAAACTTAATTCCACATGAACCAAAACAAATGCAACTTGAGTTTTAAATGGTTGTTTCCGATTTCAAGAATGAATGAACATCAAATCAAATCAAACATTATTTATTTACCAGACAAAAACTGTAATGTCGCCAAGGCTAAAAGCTGTGAGAACAGCTTGACAAAGGCCCTGGTGACCATCTGTCGATCACCGTTGTTATCACCGGGCTGAGCAGACGACTGCGAATGCCTCAGGGAATAATTAGCCAAAAGCCATATGCTTAGCAGGCGACACGAATCTAAGCATATGCGATGGTGTACATGATTAGCCGGAATAATGCAGTAGCGACGAAGCATAGACTAACACGGACTCTATGAGCAAATACATTTAGTACCCGTTAATACAATTAACACACACTGTTTTTTTTTATTTTGAAGCTATGACACCAATACATTAGGGGGAAATAGCACTGCGCACTTCATTTCATAAGCGCAAGCATGTATAGGTGAGGGAAAAGTTCTTCATGTGACTTCATGTTTACATTATTCTGACATTTATACTCTATAAAGTGGCAAACTTGTGTTTCTAGTGCGTGGATTAAAACTGACTGGCACTTGAATTAAAGTCATTAGCATTTGGATTAAACACGGTGGCATTTGGATTAAACTCACTGACACGTGGCCTCATTGAGTTGGTGCTTGGATTAAATGTTTGGCACTTGGATTAAATAGCTCGGTGCTCAGATTATTTCAATGGCGTGCAGATTATTTAAGCTGGCACTTGGATTACTTGATGCAACCCTGTGCCTGATAACAACACAAGCAAAACTGAAGTTGCTGGAAATGGTCATATAAGGTCACTTTGACACTTCAAACACGCGTCATGTTTTTTGTAGAACAAATTTTCGCCGACTCCTAGGAACAGCTCTCTATTGAATATCTGGCATATTATTATGGCAATTACTGTCTAACATTGTCAAATTGCGAAGCTGACACTTTAGTTTTATGTTCAGCTTGCAAAGGTTCTTTTCATTACAGAACTTCAATGTTACTGTACTATAATTATGAGGGGCATGTACTTCTGTCAAGTTAGCTAGCCTAGTGCATTTTTCAAACGATACACGCACATTGGTTCACGCGAATGTCTGTCAAAAACCACTATGTCGCCGAAACGGGCAAATAAGAAGTGATTATGAAAGTTTAGTGCCTGAACTACTAGAAAGTGCTGGGTGCACAAGAAACAAATTTAACATGCCAAAATCGACGATCCAAAAGCGTCGATCACCGGTGATCGATTTGATTAGGCGTGGTAACGAAAGAGTTAAGTGCCATTAACGGTCACATGGGATGTGTTATTTGTGGCTCGTAGGGCCTCTGTGTTCACACGGCATAGTATTTACACAACTGATTAGTCATAGCATTACATTGGCTTTGTAATCAAAATGTGCAATGAACAGTTTCAAATGCATGAGAGACTATATGGGCAAAAAGTAGGGCATGTTGGGAGGAGATGTAAACGTAAGAACAGCACACCAGACAAGGACAGGCACACAAAACAACACACACAGTGCTGAGTGTGTATTCCTTGCCTATCTTTGTCTGTTGCAGTGTGGTTGCATTTAGCATGAGAGGCATCTTTTCGTGGCAGCTGTGAGCTACACTAACATTCCATCCTAGCGTAACGGCTGGTGTAACGATGGCCATTTTTTAGTGTGACTGACCCATTTCTTTCATATTGTTTTTGCAAGAAATAAAAGAGAATTCTGCACACCCAAACCTTTGCTTGCGTAAAGACACTGTTTAAGACGTGCGGTGCCAAAAGCATGCAACAGCAGTACAGATGGCAGACGCTTTAAGATTCACGAAGCAGTGCGAGAGGAGGAAAAGAGAAATCGATTATCTATATATTGTTTCATATCAACAGCAACGTTTTTTGAAATTAAGGATAAAATAGGTCGACGCAGTGTTATTAATACTTTGCTTATGTTAATAATTCAACAGCATCATCAGCTCCTCTCCGTTCCTTGTGCGAAAAAGTACACCACTGTCAAGAGGGAAAATTGGGAGGCTTTACAGCATTCTGGAGAAACTGTTGGAGTTTTCCAAGCCCAGAATGTAAGAACCCCTGTATTGCACAGTCTTCAAGTCAGTACCTGGCCAACTTAGAGCATGCCACGGAAATCAGCATCCTTAACCAGTGTCAGCTGTCTACAATAATTCTCAGAGGAAAACAATATGTATGTATTCATGCTGGTCTATGATGCTCCCTAAACATAAGTGAACATTACTTTCAGGGCACGAAATGCAAAGAAGGTTACTGGTGGAAACAATTTATATGCCTGTCTTTCACTTAATACTTTATTCTGTAAAAGCATTCTGGCATATTTGGAGCAAAGCCCAACAACATAGTTTACTATCAGTCCTTCAAGTTACAGCAGTACAAGTGGTAGGAGTAGTAAATATTAGTTTCTCAACACAGACACTGTTGGCTTGCACATGTCAGACACGTGCAATATGCCGTATAAATCTTACTGCTTAAAGAGACACTAAAAGCGACCATTAAGTTGATGTGGATTGTTGAAATAGCAAACTAGAAACCTTGTAGCATAACTTTGTGCCAAGGAAGGGCTTATTTTGAAATATAATTGCGTTTATGGGTCCCCTCTGGGGGTTTGCACACTTCAGATTACCCGCCTCAGCAGTACATCTGACGTAACGGTTGCCATGCACAACGTTGCCCAACATTAATGCGCGGCCGCCGCCACTATAGTAGTAGGAGAGAGAAAGTAGCAGGAGCCACAGTATTAACAATGGCCATTGAACAATTTTTAGCCGTGGCCTTCGAAATTGCAGGCTTGCCTGGTTCAACTGGGCCCCACAAGATGGCACGACCTGTCCAGTTTAACCAGGCGTAAATTGCAATTCTGAACCAATCGCGCCATTCCCCATAGTGACGTCCGGCGTTTCTTTTATCCATGAATCAAACAGAAATGAACAAGCGGCATTTTATTACCTCTCTTGATGTGCAGAAAGTTCTTTATTTAGTGGAGCTAGATCGATTACTAGTGATTAATTGTAGGCAGTTTGTCTAACGTCATTGGGATTATTTTGAGAATGCCATACTGCGACGCATGTATTCTTGTGCATTTACCTTAATTTCTCAGTTAGTACGGCACTGCTGTTGATAATATCGTCTTAGACATTCTTATACATTAAGCTTTCATTCTGACATAAATTGTTATTTGACTTTACCGTCTATATAATGCTATAAGTACTAACAGCAACCACTACAGTATGGTTCATAACACTTATCCAAACCCCAACAATACCTGCCACATGAGGGTTCACGCACTAGTGACTGTATTGCTGGAAGTCAGCAGCATGTTTAATAAACAAAACAGCGCCACACTAAGCATGTGCCACTCTGGACTTCCGCCACAGGAATGACATTAGTGCAACTCCAAATACAGTTCCTCTAAGACGAAGCACACCAGATACAGCTGAGTTGTCGCGTGGCGATATTTTGTGCACCACTGCCGAATTTAAGTAATACCTAAAAAGCTAGAGTATTACTACATCACTAGTGATATCAACATAGTAACAGTACAAGCAAACTGTTGGCACCAGTCCCTTAGCATCAGCTTTGACATCCCAGTAAAGCTGATACTGGCATCATCAGTAGAAAGGAAGCCGCCGAGGCCATCTAACGTAGTCTCAGCACAAACAAATTATATCCATAGGATATTTCTATGGTACACCTTCTGCAGTTACAATAGCACGCATATCTGTGCTTTGTTACCATTGACAATCTACACACACTGGTACACTTCAACACCACTATGTACAAAGTGGATATGTCACAACGATTCATACGCTTCAACTGCTCGCTCTACACAGACATCATCGCCAGCACCCAGAAAAGCTTCCAGCCGTTCTGCATCTGATGAGCTTTCCTCAACTGCCTTGCGATGCTTGCGGTGAGACTTCTTCTTAGCCTTATCACCAGATTCATCGTTGCCTTTGTCCTTGTCCCTGCTCGATTTGTCCTTGGTCCTCTCTTTTCTATGCTTCTGGCTCCTTTCAGTGTCATCCTGCACATAAGAAAGACATCCACATCTTTCCATGCTCCTTGCGTCGTCACGGTACAGCGGCGACTCATAAATGAAGATGCCATGCCTATGCATCATGATGGCCAGTGAAAACAAAAGAAAAACAGGAAAGCAAACGACATTGGCTGTGTCCTCATTTCCATTTACACTAGCCGTCGTGACCATTTTCCAACTCATTAGCGTCTTAGAGTTGAAGCCTATGCATATTCGTTAAAATACCTAGACAATTCAGACTGAGTAGGACTTTGGAGATACCCCGTGTTTAAATAAGGTCATGGTAGAGGAAAGAAGGTAAGGTGATGCGGACTGAACAAAAAGTTCTTAAGCAAGAGTATAGCACAAAGTAAATTGTGTGAACATTAAACATATTATAATACAGATATGTAAAAGAATATATTTGATATTAAAAAGCAGGATTGTTTTAAGAAGTGGACAGATGTCCTTCCTGAGCTTTTCTCTGCACTATGCCTCAATAGAGTCCCACAACTGAGTCAGGAAATCTGCAATAGTATTATCCTCCCGAGATGGTCCACTTCTTTAAGGTACAGTCTGTCAGAAGTTCACCATGGTAGTCCCAGAATGCACTCAGCATGACATTCCAGATGGTGGCGCAACCTCAATCTTTTTAAGAACAATGTTCTGCATGCTTAACTGAACCTCAACCCATAGGGCGACACAAAAATGTGGAACTCACTCAGACTCCCCCATGAAATATATTTTGCCCCTCAGACTCGCGTGGATTTGCTGTCGCCAAGCATTTCCTCATGCGGACTAATTCAGACTGAGACTCGCAAAAATTTATTTTAGTTGGACTCACTCAGATTCAAACTCATCGAAGTATTACGCACCCAGACTCACTCTGAGTGAGTCAACTCGTCAGTAAGTTTGCCAAAGAAGGTCCCCAGTCGAAAGCTGAGAATAAATGTTATGCTTTCCGCTATGACTTTCTCTCTCTCTCTCTCTCTCTCTCTCTCTCTCTCTCTCTCTCTCTCTCTCTCTCACACACACACACACACACACACACCACACACACACACACCACACACACACACACACACACACACACACACACACACACACACACCACACACACACACACACACACACACACACACACACAATATAGAAGCACACACACATATAGGAGCTCGCAATGGCATAGTGGTTAGAGTATCAGCCTCGTGTGGAAGAGGCCCGTCGTTTGAATCTTGGTGCCACGTTATTCCCCATTTGATTGAAAAAAAAAACTTATTGCATGACGATGGAATTGCATAAAAGAGGTCTGGGGTGCAACCTCATCAGTAACCACTGCCGGTAACGCACTCCCTCACCAGAGAAGGATTTGCCACCCTGGTGCAGTGGCCCGCCGCAGTGGTCTAGTGGCTAAGGTACTCGGCTGCTGACCCGCAGGTCGCGGGATCGAATCCCGGCTGCGGCGGCTGCATTTCCGATGGAGACGGAAGTGTTGTAAACCCGTGTGCTCAGATTTGGGTGCACGTTAAAGAACCCCAGGTGGTCGAAATTTCCGGAGCCCTCCACTACGGCGTCTCTCATAATAATATGGTGATATTGGGACGTCAAACCCCATATATCAATCAAATCAACCCTGGTGCAGTATCTGGCCACTACCTCCCACCAGATACACCAATATACAGTCGACTCCTCTTAAACGGAACTCGAAGAGGCCCCATAAAACTGTTCCATTTATCAGAAGTTTCATTTAAGCAAAGTACACTTATTTGGTGAATCAAAACCTTTATTCAAATTGCACAAACCTCACTGTACTCATGAGAATGAGTAGGAGAAAAAAAAAGAAGTGAAAGGTGGTTTGTTTGGCAAGTTTGAGTTGTTTTTCCACAAGGTACGCACCCATGCCTGATAAACTAGCAAGAAATTCTGAACAAGCCTTATGCTCGAAATAGCGCTACAAAAGTTCAACAGCCTCTTTAGCTGATCGGTCTGGTGGCGCCACTACACTGGCAATATTGTCCCGACATTCATCGTTGGAAGGTTAATCCTCATCTTGCACTTCAGTAACCATTTCCTCGACAGTCTCCTCGCGACAGGTACGAACATTTTCATCAATTGATTCGTAGTCTCGCAGCATGAAAGGGGCAGATGGCACGACCTCACTGAATACTGCCTCAATGTCAGCATCAGCAGGGCTTTCTTCTTCCTCAGGTACTGCTCTTGCACTTTAAAGCCAGCATGATAAAAGCATCTGTATATTGTTGTTGCCTCCATTTGCTCCCAGGCAAGGGCCAAAATCTGGATGGCTGCCAATAAATCTATGCTGTAGCATTACCCGCTGTCTGCACAAAGCAGCAATCGATGGAGTAATTGTGTGCGGTAATGAGCTTTAATGTTCTGATAACCCCTTGATCCATCAGCTGGATCATTGCCGTTGTGCATAGGCTGGCAAGAACTCCAGAGTGATGGCTTGGAGTCAAGCTGACCGTGGGCTGGGCAAATATCCACGATGAAGACAACATTCCTGCCTTGCCTCGTAAATCTTGAGTCTTCCTCCTGTACCCAGTTTTTGAAAATGGCCATGATCATTCATGCTCTTCCGTTCGCATGGTACGCAACGGGAAGATGTCGAACGCCTTTGAAACAACGTGGGTGCCTTAATTTTTCTATTACCAACAGCTTAAATTTCTCATCTCCTACCTTGTTGGCACTCACCAGCACAGTGATGCGATTTTTACTGCGTTTTCTTCTACTACAGGCTTCGCCTTTGAAGGTGAGAGTCTACCATGGAAGCGCCTTATGAAAAAGACTCATCTCGTCGACATTAAGACGTCTCGTGGCTCAAAGCTCATCAAAATTTCCTTAGGCCGCCCTTTTGCCAGTCGGTGCGAATGTCCCTGTGGACTGCAGCACTCTCACCTGATATTGCTTTGAAGAATGGACCAGGGTGTGTTTTGAAGCGGCTGAGCCATCCGTCGCTGAAGATGAAGTTCTCGACACCCGTTTGCATGGCGATCTCTCGAGCTTTCTGCTCGAGAATTGGTCCACTTAAGGGCAAATTGGAACTCCGTGCACGCTTGAACCACAAAAAAAGAACTTTTTCTAGTTGTTCATAAGGCGTCGTTCGCATCCAATTAGATGCAAAGGTCCCGTTCTTTAAAGTGCCTTCAATCTTTTCTCTGCCTTTGCAGATCTGTGACAGCGTTTATTTCAGGATGTTATATTTTTTTCGCCACTTCCGTCTTGGGCAGGAGGCTCCTGAAGGATTTTCAGCTTTTTTTTCAAGCGAGAGTGCATGGTGCGACCGCTTCCTTTCCATCGGGCTGAAATAACACCGTGATCCACCGCACTTTGTTGCAAAAATAGGCCTAACACACAACTGACTCGCCGACTTGGCTCCCACAGCCGCCATAAGCGAGAATGGCTTCTAGATTGGCTTGTCTCGAGTTGCTGTCATGGTTGTGAGACTACCTTTGGCCTGAGCAAGTCTATGCAGTGTTTAGAGTTTGCGTCGTTTAACCGGAGGTGACCAATAAGCACTGTTTCGATTAACCGATGAATTTTACTGCGCAACACATAAAAATCTAGCCATATGAGCCCATTTAGTTCCGTTAATGACGCATTTTCGTTTAAGCGAGTTTCGTTTATTCGGAGTCCACTGTATATGCATATTGCCATTGTACGTGCCGCTGTACATTGCATATATGTACGTGCTATTGTCGTATTCACATTACGTACTGCTGTAGAGAAGAGTTTTTTATATCCCACTAAAACTAGATACATACGCCTATTGCGTATGCCTGTTCTTAATTGTACTGATAGTACCAGCTTAATGAATCCCTCTCATATCTGCATGTCATGACATTTCTTCAAGCAACGAGAGTTATAAATAAAGAGCTACGAATGAGCATCGCCTTAAGATGCATAATCCTTCTCTTCTTCTGTTCACATATAAATACACGAAGACTGAGCAAAAGCAAGCATATGTGATTGCGGATAGTTACAAGCACACTTTTACACAATAGTAATCACAAATACCCTTACAAAACAGTGTTTCAGTTCAGCAATGAACATGCACCTTTTTGGACTTGTGCTTGTGCTTCTTCTTCTTGGTGATGGAAGCAGCATCGTCTTCGTGAGTGTCACTGGTTGTACCAGAAGCACCACTAGGCTTCTGCTGATGCTTTGGCACGGAAGCAGCTGTATCTTTGCAAGATCAAGAAAAGAACATTTTAAAGAAGGACAAAAGAAAACATTAAGGTGTCAGTTAGAACCATTTTTCCGTGATATGGTTTTGTTCTCAGTACAGCCAGTAAGCAAAAGACAGCACACATTCAATTATGAGTGTTGCACTCATTGCAATTACTATAGAAAGCAGCAGCAGAAATTACTGATGAATAACAATGAGTCTAGTATAATTCAAGTAGCATTATAAGTTTAGGATGCATTATGAGTACCGTACAAAATGCAAATATTTCGCTGTTTAGTTTAGCTATAAAGCAAAAACAAACTCACCACATTTCAAATCGAAGCCAAGAATGTATGTTTTTGATACTGAGCACACTCGTTGAGACCAAAGTCGAGACTTTCCATATATAAACACATCCCATCACTCTTCGAAAAAATAGAAAAAGTTGAAACACTAGTGTTGCATACCCTTGGCGAGTGGGCCGGAGCCGTTACAATGCACAGGCTGCTCAAACATAAGCATTTATTTGGGGCGTGTCTTTGCTTTTATCCCTGCTGCAGAAAGAGAACTGGGTGAAAGAACGAGGAACGGAAACATACTGCGCATGCACAGAAGACTATTGTGACACAGCCACAACACTGCCATTTCCTCAAAAATAGAATCGCTCCACTCGCTTGCGCTGCCTCATGGACCGACACAGGACTGGCTGCGGAGCTTCGACCGAACTTTGGTTAGTTTGGTGTGGAGTGTGGCGTGCTTGAGCGTTGTCATCTGCCAGCTGGACATTAGATGGCGAATTCTCTGTGGCACCCATTTCCACCGCAAGAATTCCATTTATTCCTGTGGTCGGGCTAGGCGTCTGTGTAAACCCTGGTTCACGAGCAGTGACATCAACGATCGGACCCATCGGTGGCAAATCAGAGCGACGGTGCACTTGATCAACATGCCATCTAATGATGGCTGCTTGAGTCTCTACGGTTACCATCCTTGCTCCCGTTACAGACTTTATGCGGCCTGGGATCCATTTCTCGCCTTGCCTGTAATTGCAGATGTACATGCTGCTTTCCAGTGGGGGTATCCAGTCATCAATTTCCTGTGTTTAACTAGCAACATTCACAAGAAAGCAGGTGTTGAGGTGAGACCTTGATAGCCGAGTAGCGTTTCTGAGGGGGATTTACTAGTCTTGGTTGGCGTTTTTCTGTAGTTGAGCAGTAGCCTTGCTAATTTTTAATCAAGATCCCCGCCCTTTATTTTTTTAATGACCTCCTTTATCATTCGCATCGCCCTTTCAGCAGCTCTGTTTGACTGTGGATAGAAAGGTGCCGTGCACAGATGAGTAACATTGTTTCTAGCTGTAAATGCTGCAAACTCTCAAACTCTTTACTCGGGAACTGTGCGCCGTTGTCTGAAACTTTACGTGGTACACCAAAACGAGCAAATATGCTTCTCAGAGCCCTTATTGTGCTTTCCCCACTTGCATGCTTCATAGAAATCGCTTCGATCCATTTTGAGTATGCATCCACAATCACTAGTACCATCTTCCCAGCTACAGGTCCTGTGAAATCAATATGGATCAGTGACGACTTTTATAGCATCTTAGGCCAGTTTACTGGAGGTGCGGCAGCTGGCATAGGCAAAGTTTCTATGCAAGTTTCACAGTTGGCCCCATGCTGCTCTATGTTGCGGTCAAAACCAGGCCACCAAAAGAAAGCAACGTGCTATGGCGTTCATAGCAGATGATCCTCGGTAGATTTTGTGAAAGAGTTGCAGAAAACACTCTCTAGCACTGCTTGATATGATGACACGATTTCCCCAGTATACAAGGTTGTGGGCTAAGGAAAGCTCTAGCCTGCATTCATGATAGGGAGCCAAATCAGGCCGTAATTTTGTCTTGCTTGCTTGCCAAACTCGCAGCACATGCTGTTGAACCGTACACAAAGTCAGGTCACCAGCTGTTCGGTCTTTCAGCTCGCACATTGAGACCACACCTTCATCTAAACTTTTGAGTGCGAGGACGAACTACGTGAGCTCACCCTGAACTGTTTATGCGTGGCCCCTTGCGGTAGTCTGCTGTGAGCATCTGAGCTGAACAGTTGTTTCCCAGGAAAATACGGCGGCTTGTATTTGTAGCCTCTCAGGTAGAGTGCCCAGCACTGAATTCGTGCAGCCACCATGGTTGGTGTCTGGCGGTCAGGTCCAAGAAGGCCAAGCAGCAGTTCATGGTCCGTGACCAAAGTAAACGTGCAACCTAGAAGATAGTCCCGGAATTTGGTTACACTGAAAATCAGTGCCAACATTTCGGATTCTAGCTGGAAGTAATTCCGCTCTGCTGTGGCCAGTGTCCTTGAGCGAAAACCAATAGGCCTGTGAATATTGTTAACAGAGTGAAAAAGAACGGCGTTGATTCCAAGTGACGATCATCGTACTCTAACTTGAGTTCTTTTGCAGGGTCAAAATGCACAAGAATTCCAGCCTATTTAAGACTTTCTTTGGCAGCATTAAAGGCCACCTCTTGTGGTCCGTTCCACTGCCACCGCACGTTCTTTTTTAATAACCAATATAGTGCTCCTAGCTGCATTGACAGGTTTGGCAAAAACTTCGCGTAGAAAGTCAACATACCAATAAATGCCCCGAGTTCTGGACATTCCGTGGATGAGGTGTGCGCATAATAGCTTCCACGTTCTTTTCTGTTGAATGAAGGTCCTCCCTGTCAATGCAATGTCCGAGGTAGGTTACAGCTGATTGTTGAAAATTGCATTTGTCATATCACAACTTGACACCGTGCTCCCTAAAACGCTCCAAAACAACTTCCAATCATTCACCGGTATCAGATTGCTTCTTGGAAACAATTACATTATCAAAATAGGCTTGAACACTGGATAAATGATGATTATGTCAAATTTTTTCTGGAAAATCGACGGAGCAGACTATATTCGGAACAGAAGCCAATTAGGCAAAATAATCCTTTGTGCGTGTTGATTACGCAAAGTTTCCACGAATCTTTGTCTAGAAGCACGCGACTACAGTAAAATCTCGGTAGAACGAACACCACATTAACGAACTTCTAAAAAATCCCAACCTGGTTGCTAATAGTTTCAATCTAAAATTATTTCACTACTACGAACTTCAGAATACCGAACTTCTTTTCAAAATAACGAGCACTAATTTAGTTCCGTGTTATACTAACAATGCCTCAGTACTACGAACTCATGTTCTGAAATCCGTACGCAAGCAGACGACACAGCGAACTGACGCCTTACTTCTCGGAAGACGCGCGAGAGTGCAGAGGAAAAAGAAAAAACGAAATGACGACTTTCTTTCTTTTTTTTTTATTCAAACGCCGATGCTGCAGGTTTACAAGCGCAAAGGCAAGGGGCGAGGGCAACACGGGAGAGCAAGGTCAGCGAGGCAGAGTGGGAGTTGAGGAGCGGGAAGCATGGGCGCAGAAAACCTGAGACAGTTAGGGGGCAGAAAACTAAACGTGAGGAATTTCCTTTTTTAGCTCTTTCTTTTCTTCGGAAGATGCGATGACAGCAGCGACGCTTCGGGTTTTTCTTATCTTTGTCATTTCTGCATGTGCTCTAGGACAACGCCTCCTCCAGATAGATGCCTGCGACATCGCACCCTTTTCCATGGGGACGGGAGGTTCCTCATAGTTCAGTGCTTTCTCCGCAAGGAGCACTTGAAGCCGACACTACTACTTCCACTGGACTCTGAAGTGACGCCACTGCAAAAACACGACCGTGTTGCCTACGAGAGGGCAGTAGACATTGCTTCAATATCGGAGGTTACAAGGTTTAAAGTGGTCGCCGCAGCGAGCGCTCCCAGCCGACACTGTTTGGGGAAGCGGAGGAGGAGAGAACAGAAGAAGGTCGGGAACCAGCTATTCGGCTCAAGTCGCAGGCATCTTTCTAGAGGAGGGGTTCTCTAGGAGGCCTTGTCAACCGTGTTCATTTCTTTTCAGTGATTACAAGTCGCCGTTTGCACTGCGGTGCTACTACAATGAGTTCGTCTCTGCATGCGACGAAGATGCGGAAACAGTTTTCGCTAAGCGAGAAAGCGGATATTCTTCGGCAACTGAAAGGCAAAAAACGGGCTGTTGAGGCCAAAGAACTTGGAGTGCACGCGTAAAAAAATAAATAAATAAAAAATCACACACTTCTTCAAGTAAACGTGCATTTTTTGGTGTTCACTTGTGCATTTGTTTTTTCTCGTGAAAAGCGAGTTCAAGGACCCACCGTTGTAAAGGTAAGTCGTTTCGGTCAATGGAAAAGTATTTGTGGTTAATACTTAGGCTTTCACTATAACGAACAAACTGCCGCGTCCGCCTGAAGTTCGTTACACCGAGAGTTTACTGTAAAGGCATTGTGCAAGTCTAGGGTACTGAAACACTCGCCACCACTTAAAACTGCGAGCATATCCTTGATTACAAGAATCAGATACTTCTTGACTGCACAAACAGGGTTCAATGTAACTTTAAAGTTGTTACATACAGTGGACTCCTCTTAAATGGAACTCGAAGGGGCGAAAAATTTGTTCTATTCGTGAGAAGTTTCATTCAAGCAAAGCCCACAAAATGAATGAAATATGACTTTATTTCAAAAGCACCAACTGTGGCTGACTGAACAAAAACATTTTGAAGTATACAATACTACTATAGTTCATTAGAAAGAAAAATATTGCTAATATTAATGACTCGGAAAAAAGGAGGTGATAACAATTTGCATTGCTGAAAGGCAGGGCAGGAACTCTGTGCCACCATCGTGTTCAAAGTAGCGCTGCAACAGGATGACAGCATCTTTTGCTGCACTGTCAGCCACTGAAATGAGCTCGGGATCACACAATATATCATCACCACTTGAGCACAGGTCCTCATCTTGAACTTCAGCTATAGGTTCCTCAAGGCTGTCCTGAAGTTCATGACGAGACCTCGATTGCTGCTCGGCGTGTGCGGACATGTGCAATCACTGAATTGGCTTGGCTAGGCTAGCTTTGGCATTTGCTCCATGGTTTCTAGACTGTCTTGACCACTGCCGTCGTTTATGGATTTCACTTATTTTAGTTTCACTTAACCGATGTAAGCGAAAAAAAAAAAAAATGTTCGGATTACTCAAAACCTTTTATCAATAAATATATAGGAGACTAACCAAATAAGCCCAGATAGCTTTGTTTATGCGGCTCTTCCGTTTAACTGAGTTTCGTTTAATGGGAGTCTCTTGTATACGTGCAGAGCCATCTTTCTTCAGCACGGGCGCTATGGGCGCTGCCCAATCCAAATGACTGACTGGTGATAAAATGCCAAGAAAGACAAGTCAGTCGAGTTCTAAAGATACCTTGTCGTGTAGTGCATAAGCAAGAAATCTCGCCTTAGAAAACTTCGGTATTGCTTCGTCTTTGAGATGCAGGCTTGCTGGAGGACGCTTCGTTAGGCCAAGTTCCAGAGTTAAGATGTCCTTGTAGTCCGTGAAAATGGTCTTAACCTTGCTGGGGTCCATTTCGTGGGTTTTGTTACTTCATCGCATGGGGTCACATGAAGCACAGGTGCGCCCTTATAGCCCAGTAGCATCATCAGTCCCTTCTACACAACCTTGGTCCTTCTCAGCCAAGCACGGTGAGGGAACACTCCACAAGCACGTCTTTGAATCCCACATGTAGCGTCACATCACCCAACACTAGGAACCGGCCTGCATAATAAGACAACTTCATGCATGGCGGCCTCAAGGGAGACCAATGGCTCCGATTCTTCATTTTTGCGAGAAATGACACACACTGGGGATCCTGTGTACATTTCCATATGTACTTTAATTTCGCCCCATGTAAGAAAGCAGCCAAAGGGTGGCCTGAGGAAATTGTTTTGCTGCGACACCCAATTCGGATGGTTGACTTCATCACCGCTGTCATCCCCGGGGGTGGGGGTTCTGTGATAGCATGGATAGCTACGGCAGTGAATTTTCCACAGTTAGGGCGGCTCTTACATTTATCTGCAATATGTCCCCGACCTCCACAACGATAGTATCACGCATTTGCCCATCCAGAACAGGAATCATTGTGCCTCGAGCTGCCGCATCTTCCCCATTCAATATGCTCTTTGGCTTCTCTGCTTTCCCCTGAATACGCTTTTCGAGCCGCCTGCAGTTTTAATAGAGCCTTTGGCTTGGAAGACATTTTCATAGCATCTATCTCGGCCGTTTCAGCTGAAATCGCCAACACCTTAGCCACCGCTAGCGTGAGGTCAGCCTTTGCCAGCAGTAGCTTCTGTAGGCCCGTTGACAGCACACTGCATACAATCCGGGCATCCGATCCAAGGCATTGCCAAAGTTGCAGTTATTCAACCAGAAACTGCGCGACTGACTCCCCTTCCATCTGGCATCGATTAAAAAACTTGAAGCTCTCGGTCATTTCATGCCACCTTGGATCATAGTACTCGTTCAGCACCTCGACACCTTGCTTGAAGCTGAAAGCGTTTGGGGCTAGCAGTGCGACCTTCCCAGCTAATACTTGAACAGTTTGTGTGCTCAGTGCTGCCACAAACAGTGCCCCTTCTTGGCTGAATCGGTGATTTTGTTAGCTTCGAAGCAGGTGTCTGTCTTAATGAGGCACGGTTCCATTTATCTGTATCTTCATTGAAGTCAGAAAGCACATGATGCGCCATGCTTGTTCCCGACGAAGCTCCTTTCTTGGCTGTAGGCTCCGGATCTACTTTCACCGAGTGGGTAGTATTCTGGCTCGTCGCCACTTCTGCATACCCACGGCAAGCAGGCCGGAGTAGTTACGAGGCACAGACTGCTCCAACATGATAAGCATTTATTTAGGGCATGTCCTTGTTTTTATACCTGCTGTAGAAATATAACTGTGAGAAGGGAGGAGGAACCGAACCATACTGTGCATGCACAGAACACTAGTGCGACACAGCCACAATAACTAGGCACATACAATTAATAATGGTTTTGTAAACAATTAATCAAATGCACCTTGATTAGACCCCCACTGAGTATGTGGTTTGGAAATAACTCCAAAGCTTAGATCGACAATGTCTAATTAGGAATCATCAGGTTTGGACATCATAGCACCCACTGCAATGATAGCAAAATTCAGAAAGTAATCTACAAATGTTGTGATACCAACATTTACTGAATATAAATAACAATAATGTCAAAATCTGTCAAAACCAGTAAATTTTGTATGCTACAAGAAACCCAAATACATCAAAGAACTCGGATATATAATATTATTCGCTATATCAAACGGATGTTACATTTGGTAAAAAACCCAGATATATAAAATTATTCGCTATATCAAACCGATGTTACATTCGGTAAAAATCCTATGTGAAAGTACTGAGGCACTATAGTAGACATGTACTGAGCTCACTCAATATTCACCTTCCCACTCGATATTACGTTGAATGCAGCAGCAGCGATGCCACAAGTGTGCTCCTCCCTACAGCTCCATTATCACCACATCATTAGAAATACACATGCCGAAAATTTCATGATTTTGGCAGATTCTGTCATACAGAGCAATGAATTTGAAGTGCATTGCAAGCAACAGAGGAAAATGAGCAATGTGCAGGCCAGAAACTATGGATGGCTCAAGCAGCAGGAATTTCGCCTGCACTCCATAATTATTATAGATTTGTTTAGACTAGCTTCACTGCAAAACAAAAGTGTGATGGGGTGAAGATGAATAACCACTATGCAAAGAAGCATCGCGTTGCTTCAAAAACATAAAAGGCCTCCGAGCCTACATACAAGTAGAAGTGCAGCAAAAGGAAGCAAATGGTGCAGTTGTATCAGGACTGCACATGTAGTGCAATGTGAGCACCTGGTGGAGTGAAGGGGCACTACCATCTACATATGCTAATGCAGCAGATGTCATGTTTCACTCAATATTGTGGCATTGCAAACGAGATAAGTCTAGTAGAAAACTATCAGTACTGCCTAATTTGCCCAAACCACATGCAGCTTTGTGAAGTACACAGTATTAAAAAAAAAACAAGGAACGACAAGCTTACAGTGATAAAGAGATGAAGACGAAGTTCTAAGACGATGACGACTCGAGCGGAAATTCTCAACCTAAGTTTATTAAAAAAAAAAAACAAATAAATACAAAATCCAACCACATTCAACGAAAAAAACTGCACGTCTACAGCACAGTCGTTCAAGTGATGTCAAAATACCAGAACATGTGGAGCATACAAGTGCGTCCAGAAACAGAAAAATACAATGATAACTAACACACAGGTGCAAGGGAAGCCTTTCCTGCAATGCTCAAAAAGAAAAGCTGAAATTCAGAAATTAAACAAGGAGTCATAACCTTCCTAGAACTTGGTCTTCATCCCCTTAGAGCTGTAAGCTGGTCAAAATGAACTATCAACAACTAGCCCAGGTTTCCCTCCTTGGGTAAGCAATGAAGCAGAAGAAATGTAGAAGCCCCGCCGCGGTGGTCTAGTGGCTAAGGTACTCGGCTGCTGACCCGCAGGTCGCGGGTTCGATTCCCGGCTGCGGCGGCTGCATTTCCGATGGAGGCGGAAATGTTGTAGGCCCGTGTACTCAGATTTGGGTGCACGTTAAAGAACCCCAGGTGGTCAAAATTTCCGGAGCCCTCCACTACGGCGTCTCTCATAATCAAATGGTGGTTTTGGGACGTTAAACCCCACAAATGAATGAATCAGAAGAAATGTAGAAAATGGACATCAGCCAGTACAGCTAATGCAAAGCTGCAAGATGTGCTACATACTCAGTACAGCACTTTGCTAAATGAAACACCAAGATAGTAACAAAGCTAATTTACCTCCTACAATTGCTCCCCTTCACTGAAAAAATAGTGACCGATCGAACTGCTGGTCATGCATTATAATACATTGAAAAATGATAAACCTTTATTCCATAATTCAGGGATAAGTGATGGTAGAGTGCCCACTGCATGTTCTATTTAACAGTGATCCTGTTACTGGTTCAGTGTTCCCAATAAACCCGAGGCATGGCACCTTTTATTAATAAGAGGTTATTGCCGTTGTCCTATGCTCACCTATATTACTAATACAAAACAGGCATGAAATCCCTTTAACACCATGACATCTCAATGACTTATAAAGCAGAGCCTAAAATAACAAAACAAATGGTTTATACAGTCCAGTTTGAAAAGTTACAAGTCGACCTCTAAAACAGGTCACGAGAGTGTCAAAATGTTTAGCATGAAAACTCACCGAGCTGTGGAGCAAGAGCAGTGTATCTCTTTTCCAGAAAGTTCAGGTCCTCACTGGGCATGCTCCAAAATGTTGTCGGCTCTGTTGGTGCATTCTCAGGAGCAGCTGGTGATGATGTTCCATCGGGATCCTCTCGGCTAATCTGCAGCCATTTTTCACAAACCATCATGAAATTCAAATGCCGAGTTTTATGATCAAACACATGCTAAATGCAAGGCTTTGCTACCACGAAAAAACAGAGCTTGAGAATAAACAGTGCAATAAATTTGGAATATACAGTCAAACGTTTTCATGAGAGACGCTAACAGTTTGGTGTGAGAGACACCACTGTGCCTAAATCAAAACACAGGTTCAACACAATATGATGTCATGGTACCACCCTGCTTGAAAGAGACACCTCATATAAGGAACAAGAACTGCTGCCCAGTGCATGTCTCTTATGAGAGGGTTTAAATGTACACCTGCCAGTCATTTTTTACAAAACCGAGTTTTCATCTGACCCTTACATTAGTCACTGCTCACCCATAGCTTACAAATGTGAAAACAAAAGACTGCTACTAAAGTGGTTAGTCACAGTGCGTGCATTTTGACCACAGGAATTCAATTTACTTTTCCAGGCATTCACCATATGTCAGTCACTGTAAATGAAAACCACACTAGCTCTAAAGATTTTTATTTAGCACAGCACTATGCTTTGTCCTCCACACTCGTAAAAAGTATTGCACATGCCTTCTAAGAAGAGTTTCAGCCTATAGCACAAAGCTAGCAGCGAGAAACTCCATCAAAACTGTATAAGCAATGTCTATATATGAACGGAGTGTAACGGAAGCTAGTTTTAGGAACAAGGCAACAGATGAACTGCTCACACAAATTAATATGAACAAAACTGCACCAACAGAGATTATCCAAAAAGTACCGTAATGTCAAAGAATACATTGTGAAGCGATTGTACGCTGCAGCGCAGCACGTCTGACTGGGATTGGTGGAAGGCGAAGTTTTCTTATGCACGCACTGTCGAGCATTATTCTGTGACAATCTGAAGAATAAGGATAGAGTTTTTCGTGAAGGTTGTTATCATTTGCCGTGCAAGCCATAATACTGTGCCTGTTATACGAATACGAAATTATTGGCCCCCACCTTTATGTGAAACTTTGCGAGTCCACAGTGTATACTTTTCCTATCCCAGAGACCGCCTATGATGATGATAGTCTGTCGGAGTTTCAAGCATTCCACAAAAAAACTTCAATTCGGACTTTATTTAGGACAAATGACAAAGGTAGAGGGGCTTCCACCAAGGCTTTACATTCAATGAACATTTCGGAGAAGGCCTACAAAAAACACCATAAACGCCTAAGATTGTATTCTGAAACTATCGAGTAAGGCGACAGTATCGCCATTGGTGATGTAGAATCTAATGTGTTTAATAACCGGCCAGTGCAATATCAATGTCGCATTCGACCCTCGATGTTGGTTTATGAATGACTGACAACTCAACAGTGAACGCACTGTACGAACGCGATGTGACTCCAGTGTAATGTTTTCGAGCGTATGCTGGCTTCCACGCAGTGGCTAGGCGTGGCTGTGGTTATTGGAAATATAAAACGTGTTGAAAGTGCTTTCAATGCGTTTAGTGCAATAGTTCACATCATAAGATTTTCCAAAAAGTCACTTTGTGTGACATGTATTTTTGTTGAGAGTTTAACTCAGCATACTCATAGAGTGCACTTGTAGTGTGCCCTGGCAGGGACATCGCATCAACATGTCAACATGTTGCGCCGCCAGCATGTCTGTATGTACACATTTGTGCATTTTTCATGCATGCTTCACTCCACACCGTGCACAGGTGTACGGTCCGGAGTGAGTAGCCTGTTCGTTGAACTTGAAGAAGACAAGCAGCAATGCAAGCAACGCACAAACGTTCTTGCATGACATGGCGAAGGTGAACTTGCAAGCGACAACATCGTATGCTTACAGCCGTTACTCCACACGGATTTAAGCCACAAGCACAGTGGAGCACATTTCTACAGATGACTGATAAGGTTGTCGGTGCTTAGCCATAATGACACGTTCATCGCCACCTTGCCTTTGGTCTTTTATCGCATAGGCAACGTCGCAATCGTGCAGAGTCATAATCACATTGATCAATAGATCATTCTCTGCCGTTACCGAAAAGACAGAACACCTTTTGCACTGCCTTGTAGTGTCCACGAGCTGGCGGTTGAAGGGAACTTTTATGCGACAAAAATTTATTGTTGTTGCATTTATGACTTCTTGTGCTCCACGGCATTGTTTGGTTTATCGTGGGCAGTCGTAGATGCAGAGAACGGCGCCACAAAACGTTCCCGAGCGAAAGCTTGTTGCAAAGCTTCATGCTGACTCCTATTACCACGCCCCTCACTGCCGTACCGCAAAGCTTCATGCTGAGTCCTATTCCCACGCCCCTCACTGTCGTTCTGCAAGTGAAGAAACACCTGGAAGATAAGCGACCTTGCTCGCAGCATTGAAATCTGCGTGCGGTGCTCGGCGCGGTCTACAGTGGTGGGAATGCCTTCGAGCATTTTCAAGCAGCCATAGGAGCAGGCAAAATCTGCTTTTGGAGCAGCTGTGTTTGGAGCATCCACTGGCTTTCGATGACACACCCAGAGGAAGAAAATTCAGCCTCATTTAGTTTATTGTTCTCTCAGCTTACATAATCATATATACAAAAGCAGCAAGCAGACAAAATAGGCACACAAATAAACAAACATAGGATTATGTACAAAATCAGTGACATAATATAGTGGAGGATACCGCACAAAGAAGCTAGCTGCGGCATGAGGTTCATAGTAGCGTGCACACACACACATACATGAACACACTGATTTTCAAAGCTCATTACAGTAAAACCTCAATAATATGTACATACATGCCGAGAACCTGCCGGGAACATGGCCAACTGCACACTAAACGTAATATGTATTAACCACCAAACATAAACGTGAGCAGGGTTCCCCTGCAGAGGAAGGGGCGAAGGTTCACCGCAGCGCCCCCCCTCTCTATCATGTGACGTATGGGGCTGCCTTCGCAGCCCCTTCTCTCGCCTCCCTCCCCCCATGCCACTCCTCCCCGTGCGCACGCCTATAGGAAGCCAAAGCAACGCATGGTGGAGCTGCGACTCCAGACAGGCAGCGCCATCTTTGGTAGAGAAGTAAAAAGCGGGGATGCAGATGGCGCGTTTTCCCTTCGCTCCAATGCGCTGCCGCTCGTTTACGTGCTCGTGCACGCGCTGCGTTTGAGTCACCTCACAATGTACCGCCTGCAGTTCGGCTTCACAAAGATCTCTGATGATGATGATAATGTGTGGTGCTTTGTGGCGCAAGGGCCAATTGATGGCCAAAGAGCGCCATTTCGATGAGTAGAGATGCGGACAATGATATGTTGCGTGGCTGTATAGGGGCCTTAAAATTCCTCGCGATAATGCGGGTAAAAACATAAGTATTAAGATCATGGCAGTGGCGTGATATGCATAGTAAAAAGGGTGACAAAAGTTTTGATCATAAGAGCATGTAAAAATATTTGGCACTAGCACAAGTGCCTCATCAGCGCCCTTGTGTCCAAGGACTGCGAAGCAAGTGCTTTTAAATATATTCACTGCAGCAGCAATCTCTCTTGAGAGGTCACGCTACACAATGCCTGGGTATATTACATGATAAAAACCGACATCTCTTAAGAAAGCTAGCAATGATTTATGGGTGAAAAGTGGTTCCCTACCGACAAACATTGCGGGGTGTAATGGTATATGTTGTCGGTAGGGTAATGGAAAGTGTTGTCTTCTTAGAGTGTCTAATTGTTTACATTGGATTAAAACGTGAAGAACTGTTAATGTCTCACCACATTTATCACACAATGGTGGATCGCCACCGGACAAAAGATATGTGTGTGTCGTGTATGTGTGTCCTATCCTGAGTCTTGTTAGTGTTACCTCTGTTAGACGCGATTTTGATACTGGTGGCCAATGGCCAAGGTGTGGCTTGATAACGTGTAGCTTGTTTTGTGTGTGTCTATCCCACTTGCTCTGCCAGTAGTCCCTGAGCTTTCGTTTGAGAGACAGCTTAAGATCAAGGGGCGGGATCGATATGGGTGTAGTGGCACTGATTTCGTGGACGGATGCAGCAAGCTGATCCGCCATCACGTTGCCTTGAATTTCACGGTGCCCTGGCACCCAGCACACTACAACATGTTGGTTGAGTGTGTAGAGTGTGCATAAAATGGAGTAAAGTGAAACGAGGACAGGGTTTTTTTTGTTTTTTAAGACTGTGCAGAGCCGTTACCACACTGAGGGAGTCTGTATAAATTACTGCTTTTTGTATTTGTAATTGTTTGATGTGTTTAGCTGCCACAAGTATCGCGTAAGCTTCCGCTGTGAAGATACTTGTGCCTGGATGTAGAGGGCCAGCATCCGCAAAGGAAGGGCCGACAGCAGCGTAGGACACAGAGGAGTTAGACTTAGAAGCATCTGTAAAGAACTCAGGATGTGTGTATTTGTGTTGAAGTTCCAGGAAGTATGTTCGAATATGGGCAATAGGTGCATGTTTAGTAACTTCTAGGAAAGACACATCGCAATCTATAGCCTGCCACTGCCACGGTGGCGGGTATGCTACAGGAGCCATTAAACTGTGTTCAAGTGACACTCCAGTGTCCTCAGCTAGACCCTTCAGGCGAACTGAGAAGGGCTGCCTCATCGAAGGCCTGTTTTGAAACAGAATGGAGCTCGACAAATCAATAATGATAGTGTATGAGGGGTGCTTTTTGTCTGCTTTCACCTTAAGAAAATAAACAAAGGACATGTAGGTTCTCTGCAGATGAAGCGACCACTCATTTGACTCAACGTAAAGGCTTTCTACGGGGCTGGTACGAAAAGCACCTGTAGAAAGGCGGATGCCCAAATGGTGGACGGGGTCCAGCATCTTCAACGCACTTTGAGTCGCAGAGTGATAAACAATGGCCCCATAATCTAAGCGGGTGTGAATGAGGCTTCTATACAGGTTCATGAGACATTGCCTGTCACTACCCCACGTAGTACGTGACAACAATTTTATAACATTCATGGCTTTTAAACATTTTGTTTTTAAATACTTGATGTGCGGTACGAGGGTCAACTTG